CACCAGTTCCCGGCTCTCCAGCATGACTGGTGATGACAGCAGCTGGACGGATGGACGCCGCAACCCCCGGGCCACCGGTATCTACCACGTGAACGGCAGAGGTTCCACACCTCAGCAAGGTGAGACACATTTGGAGGGGTGGGGGGGCCCAGTAAAACCATCCCCTTAATGGGAACCCCCCCAACCCTCTGCCAGACCTTCACCCTCTTCCTCTTCCAGGTCCCTATGGACACAGCTCCTACAAACCCAACGCGGAGGTGGCAGCGCCCACCACGCTGGTAGGTAACCATCACCGTGGATGTCATGGGGGCAGTGGGGGGGGGACAGACAACACACTGACCCCCATCCTCACTGCTCCCTCCCCTCTTCACAGGTGTTGGCAGAAAGTTCCCCATCCCCGTGACCTCCCCCTCCAAAAAACAGCTGGTGCGGGGCGGCCGAGGCTACCTTGGGGTGTCCCCCCCCACCAGGCAGGACCCTTGGCATGGTGTGGGGACAACGACCAAAGATCTCAGCCCCCCCACCATGGAGAGGGGAGGTGGGGAATGCTGCCCCCCGCCCCCTAACCCCCTCGGCTATTTCTCATTTTTGGGGCGAAAGCAGGTGGGATGCGGTTCTTCTGTGAGAGAGGAGAGGTTCCCCCCCATGGTCCTTGGGGCGGGGGAGCTCCTTGCTGGAGAGGACATCCCTGCATCCGGTTGGAGCATAATCCAATTTCCAAAGCCACACCTGAGCTGGATAAGCCTTATCTCGCTGGAAATAATATTTATTAGCATATTTATTTCACCTCCTGCAAAATAACCTGGATGGGCGGAGCTGCAGGGGCAGGGGGAGGATTTCCAAAGGCGGGGCATCAACGCTGTCATCCCACTTGAGGCGGATCAGGATTTGGGGCTGGGGGTCACGGTGGGGGTATTAGTTGGGGTTTTGGAGGTCGTGGTTGGGGTCTTGGGGGTCTCAGTTAGCATTTTTGAGGTCATGGTTGAAGTCTTGGGTGTCTCAGTGGTCTCAGCTGGGGACTTGAGAGTCTCCGTTGGGGTTTTTGGGGCCATGGTTGAGGTCTTGGGGGGTCTCAGTAGTCTCAGTTGGGGGGTTTGGGGGTCATGGTTGAGGTCTTGGGAGGTTATAGTTTGGGTCTTGGGGGTCTCTGTGGTCTCAGTTGGGGTTTTGGGGTCATGGTTGGGGTCTTGAGGGTCTCGGTTGGTAGTTTTGGGGGCATGGTTGAGGTCTTGGGGGTCCCGGGGTTTTTGGAGGTTATAGTTTGGGTCTTGGGAGTCTCAGTGGTCTCAGTTGGGGTTTTTGGGGTCATGGTTGGGGTTTTGGGGTCACGGTTGGGGTTTTTGGAGGGTGTCAGTTGGGGTTTCTGGGGTTAAGGGATGAGTTTGGAGGGGAATTCCCCAGGGCCAAAACTGATACGTGAAGACCCAACAGTGACCGGAGGAGGAAGAAACTACGCAAAATCCCTTATTTGCACAACGCCGGCGGGAAGGAACACCTGGCCGACACCTGGCTGTCCCAGAACATAATAAAAATTAATCCCTGACACCAGAAAAAAAAAAGAAAAAGATAATCCACCCCACTCGGCACCTCCTCACCCCTCCCAACACCCCCAGCGTCAGCCGGAGAGATTACTGCTGTTTGTTTTTTGGGTGGGAGAGGGCCCTTCCCCGGTCGTTGAGTGTTAGGAAAAGTGGGAGAGAGGTGGCCAACAATTTTTAGGGAGGATCTTGGAGGCGGGGTTGGGAGGAGGGAGGTTTTCCTCATTTTCCCCACTGGTGTCACGCAATGGGTAGCGATGGGGTTGTCCCACCTCGGTGGGGAAGGGGATGTGGCCCCCGAGGCCAACCTTCTAAAAATCGTGATGTTGGCTTGAGCTTCACCCCCGCCTCGGGGAAATGCCACCCAACGGGCCACGGAAGGGCCACGAGCGGTTTTGAGGGTGTCTTGGCAACCCAACCTCGCAGCCGGCTTCCTCAAAGGGGATGAACGGTTTGGTCCCTCCCCACCGCGGGGGACAAAGGTCTTCTTCCTCGGTGGCTTCTTACCCGCGCTTTGCCCGCCCTGAGCTCAGTTGGGTCTCTGGGATGTTGCCGGCGCGGGATCGGTGAACGGGAAGATGGAAGTTGCCATTCTTCCTCGCCTTTTCTTCCTCCTCTTCCTCCTGGGAAGCGGAATAAGTGAGTAGAGATGGGGGTTGGGGGGAACAGAGGGGCTTTCCCTGAGTGTTTTTGGGTGCCACAAGGTGGGACGGGAGGTGCCACCTCCTCCTGGGTTCCTTCCACCGCCGTCCCCTCGCCAAAAAAAAAAAAAAAAGGAACACCCCTCCCTCTCTCTCCAAGCTCCCACCCACGGGGATGGGTTGGGGGGTCCATGCCTGTCCCCCCCACCATGGGCTGGTGTCCCCAAACGGGAGATGCTCAGCATCTCCCCACAGCCTTATCCAGTCCCACCACCGCGACGCGGCTGTATCTCCGGATCCAACCCAACGTTGACCCCCCAACCCAAGAGCTGACCAACCAACCAACCCCCCACCACCAACCACCCTTCCCCACTTCGTTTTTCACCCGTTATCCAACCCCCATCCTCCTCTCCGGCAACTGCCGCGCCGCAGCGGAGTCTACCGATGCGCATCCCCCCCCCGCATCCCCCCTCCGGCCACGCACAGCTCAGGAGCTTTTAAATCCTCGTTAAGAGCGGGGAAGACTCAGGAGCTTTTAAATCCTCGTTAAGAGAGGGGAAGATGAGGAGTTGATTGCATAAGGGAGGCTAATTTAGGAGAAAGGCAGCAGGGCCTCGGCTGGAGAACATCAATTAAGAGCAAACGAGCTGGAAAGATGGGGCTTTTTGAAACAGCATGGCT